TTGACTTCAACCATCACTGGAGACGCTTCAAAAGGTATAGTAACCATCCGGACTACCTTAAGAATCTTCTAAACTGTTTAACTGATTAAAACAGCAAGCTTTCCTTTTAACTTCTTTGTAGAGAATACTGTATTATAACATATGAGTTGAAAGAAATTAACTTTCAACCTCAATTTTTAAAAACTGTTTTTAATGAGTAATACTTTTTTTTAATTTGCTTGATCTGTTAAGCTAGATCTGATTTTTTTAAATTTTCTAAAGAAATTGAATACTTTTTTGTTTGTTGTTGTTTCTAAGTTGTAAGTACACTGGTTATTTATAGAGTAAACATTTTAGAACAAATTTCAAATGTTTTCATTAGGAAATATAACTCATTTATTTAAAGTAATAAAATCAAAAATTCAAATCAATTTTTCTTTCATGGGCCATGATGAAAGATTTCAAAAGCAACTCTAATGTACTTCTGCATACTTGTATTATCATACTCCCAAAGGTATTTTTCGGGAAAAGAGGTTCGAATAAAAAGTCATTTCGTGACACAGTGGCAATAATTAAAGTCATTACAAACATATTTACAATGTGATTGTATAAATGACATTTAAATTTTGAAGCTCCATAATTTAGTTTTGACTCAGGGCCCCGAACCAGCTTGGAACGGCCCTGGAGAGTAAACAAAAAACTAGGTAATAATTATAATAGTACATACTATTGTTATTAAATGAAAAACAAAAACTAAAGGTTGAAAAGTTAAACTGAATGAAAAGATATAAGGATTTTAGTAGGAAGTCAATTAGAAGTCCATAGTCGATTAAATCGACTATTCAATTTTTCAAAGTCGACTAATTTAGATTTTCGAATATTAGACTTTATGTCAATTTAGTCGAAGTCGATAAAAACACTAATCGAATCCATTGCAAAGTATATATATATATATATATATATATATATATATATATATATATATATATATATATATATATATATATATATATATATATATATATATAATATGAATGATGCTTTTTCTCTTTTAGACAAGGTGCAAAAATGCATTGTAAAATCAAACTCTTAATTTTTTTTTTGAATGACAACTTGTTAATACGACAACATTTTAACATGTTAACATGTTAGTTAAGAGCTGTTGAAACTGCTCTCGACAATTTTTTGTTAGTTTTTTTTTTTTGAACTTGTATTTTGCTTTTTGTTATCTTAAATAAATTAATATTAGGAAAAAAAAACAATAGTTAAAAGAACTCTAGTGATGTATTACTAACTCTTGCACTTTCCACCAGCAAGCGCTTATATTTTTGTTATTTTTTATAATATACTAGTTTTGATATTATACTATATATATAGTTTATATCATAGTATTAAAACTATTATATTATAAAAATAAATAAAATTTAAGCGCTTGCTAGTAAAAAGAGTGTTTAATAGAAGGTATACATTAATTTAACTTTGAATTTTCTGCTTCCGAAAGTAAGCGCGATTTTAATTCTATTTTATATTCATTCGTTGCAATTTTCAAATGTGTGATTTATGAAAATGGGTGATTTACGAAAGTTTTTTTTTAACGTCATGCATATTTATATTATTTTTTAATTTTTATTATAATTTATAATACTTAGGTTTATTAATCTTAAAAGTCTAAGATAAGTTTTAATACAAAATTAAGTTAAAACATGATTCAACTTAATTTTAGAGGTTCATTAATGTATTAAATATTTTAGTTATTTTATCATTAAATTAATCATTTTTAAGTATTTGATGAATGCTTAAAAAGTATTAAATTGCGTTTGCGTTTTTTTCTATTTAATCCCGGCATTTCCCGGGATTTCCCGGGGACAAATTTCTCAATCCCGAAATCCCGGGATTAATAATTTCCGGGATTTTTGCCATCCCTAGATGTAGATCAGTGGACCAGTAACTTCAAGTTACATTAATTTTAAAAGCCATAGTGTTCAAGCTAATGTTAAGCAAAGTAGCATCGAGTGATCATTTTGATTTTACCACCTTATTCAACACTACTTATAATATTAAAGGTTTCAAAGAACTGCCATATCCGCAGTGCCAGATTTATAGCCACGCCAACTAAGGCATGGCCTAGCGTCCCCATTAAAAGAGGGGCCCCAAAATCCAATTGCAATAAAAATAAATTTTAATTCTTGAAAAATACATTTTTATTATAAAGTAAAAAAAAATTTAACTACTTTTTATTATTGTTTTTCTGATCACTTTTGTTTTTCTGATCACTTTTGTTTTTACTGAAATACAACTGTGAATAAAAAAATAGCAGTACTAAAAAATTATTCGTACTTTCATTATTACTCTTTTTCTGTATAATATAGAAAAACAAATTTTTTATGTGTGTATTTACAGTAATGAGAATAAGTAATTGAGCATACGAGAATTCAATTCATCCAAGAATACCGTTATTTTTAATAAAATTATTGTAATTGAGAGAATGCATTAAAATAGCAGTGGTTGTATTGGTTTTAAAGTTAGTTTATAAAATTTAAAGAAATTTTCGTAATTTTTACAGGAAAAGTAAGTATAACTTCAATTATAATATATACTTTATTTATCTGTGTATGCTCAATGGTAAAAACTTTTTCTAAACCTTTCAAAGTGGGCCGAGGACGTCATTGTACACCAACAGAACGCAACATTATTTTGAAGCGTCATAGAGAGGGTAAATCTTACTCATATATACAAAATGTTATCGGATGTTCAGCAAAGATGATTTCAAATGCCTTAAATTATAAAGCAAAATTGAAAAACGAGGTGGAAAACGTTAGACTACCGCACAAGAAGACCGAAGAATTGTAAGATATGTTAAAAGTAAACTATTTTCATCGGCCAAGCAAGTCAAAGATGATCTTGATTTACATGTCAGTGACACAACTGTTCCTAGGCGCTTAAGAGAGAACAGTTTATATGCACACAGTCCACAAAAGGTTCCTTTGTTGACAAAAAAACATACCGCTAAACGTTTGCAGTTCGCAAAGCAACATCTGAATTGGCCCATAAAAAAGTGGCGCAACATATTATGGACCGATGAATCGAAAATCGTTCTTTATGGAGGTACAGGTTCAAGACAATATATAAGACGTCCAGCTAATACAGAATTTCAGAAAAAATATATCATTAAGTCTGTAAAACATGGTGGAGCCAAAGTCATGGTATGGGGCTGCTTCTCATATAATGGTGTCGGCCCTATTTATAAGATAAATGATATCATGGACCAACTTATATATGTCAACATACTCAATAATACCATGCTGCTCAATGCTGTTGAAAATATGCCGCTAAAATGGGTCTTCCAACAAGATAACGACCCAAAACACACTAGTCATAAGGCAAAGGAGTGGTTTCAGGTCAATGGGGTTGAGGTTATGAAGTGGCCTGCTCAGTCACCCGACCTAAACCCCATTGAAAACTTATGGAGAGACGTTAAAAAAGCAGTGTCTGCTGCTAATCCAACTAATGCTCAGCAGTTATAGGTAGCTATTCAACAAGCATGGTACGCAATACCCGAAGAAAAATGTCAACGCCTTGTTGCCTCAATGTATCGGCGTTGCGAAGCCGTTATTTAAAACAAAGGTTTTGCAACAAAATACTAAAGGTAAATATATTATTATATTATACTTATTTTTAACTTTTTAATGTTAAAAAATTAACTTTTTTAATGTTTAACTCTAAAAAAAAAAATTTTTTTTTCCATTTTCAGATACGACTGCTGTTTCAATGACTGCCACCTTTTTTTAATATTATTGTTTTGTTTCTGGAATAAAATGTAAAACTACTATTGATGTGATTTTTTTTATTCTATTAGATATAAGTGTCAAAATAAATATAATAAAAATTTTTTAGTAATTAGTAAAAAAAAATTGCTCAATAATATTCAAATTATTCCAAGTACTGCTATTTTCATGCTTACAGTTGTATATTTTAGTTGAACAAGGTTGACAAAGGGGTATTTTTTTAACGTTGACAAATGAATATTTATTGAACGTTCGTTTAAATATATGCAGACAACCTTCTAATTTAAAGATATTCAGACAACCGTCTAATTTAAGACAAATTTTTTAATATGAATAAACATAATTTTTTTATATGTATGCATCCCCCCCCCCCTCACCAGATTATATAAAAATTTCAACATCAAGATTCACGGTTGAACTCGATTTAATAAGCAACCAAATGTTTATCAATAACTTGATTTTTTTTTCAAAAATCAAGTTATATAAAACAATGTTATCATGTTAATGATAAATCAATATATAAATATAACAATATATAACAAAAAATCAAATTATTGATAACAATGACTGCACGAAATTATTTATACTTAAAAAAATTTAAATATCCTGAGACAATAAATACAAGTAAATCTTCTCGAAAGTTGGCACCAAGTTAAAACACAAACCTTTAAAAATCTCTGTTTAAAAACAAAGTGACTTATGCCATTTTCCAAGTAAACGGCTCACATGAAAAGTTAAAGACAATTTTTTTTTTAAATCATTAATAATTTTGCCCTGAATTTGAAAGAAAGAGCTCAATGCTATCAGGAATTGAATGACATTTTTTCGAGATATGGGGTAAAAGCCACCCCCCCCCCTGGGACTTTTTTTCAGAAATATTCTTTTTTAAATTGACTATTATACAGAATTAGACTATTATACTGACGAATGAAATTGACTATTATACGTATATGAACTTGGTTATTATACAAAAGTACAAAAAATTAAAAAAGAAAGTAACTTATAAATGAAAATATGGGAACCTTTTTTTTTTTTAGACTTTTTTAGCCCCTTCCTTGGCGAGTGACAAAACCCGCCCCTGTGAAGAGATTCAGTGTGCATTTTTAAAAATATATTTCATCAAATATTTTCTTTTATGCTTAAAGTATTGAAATATATTAAAATAAAAAAGATTTTTCTGAAATTGTAGAATGGTTGCTACCTGGTATGTATTTTGAAATTTCGCTTCAACATTGAATGATTAACTGACGAGATTTTTAACTACCATATTGGTTAATTATTTTACATTTTGTTCGGTTTGCTCCAATATACTTATCGCAATAATACTCAACTATACATTAATGAGTTATATTTGAAATCAGTGGACATCAATTTAATACTAAATTAATTGAACGCAATATTTTCATCACGCATGGTAATATAATACGAATTATAATATACTTGTCACTATGTATCGTAAATATCACCAAGATGATATTATCATGACACGATGTCACCAAGACGTAAAATAAATATATTAAGACCCAGCTGTTTATTTAAAATTTTCCCCTTATATAGTTTTATATTTTAACTTGAATAAATACAATGACTTCAAGTATTAGTTTGAATGAGCTTTATTGCTTTTACTGTGGTGTTGACAATATACCGTTGTTAAGGTACATATTTTATTTTAATTAGGCAAACTCATTATTTAAAGCAACTTTAGTGTTTATAAATCGTGGATAATAGTATGTTATATATGTTAATAATGAATCTATTTTTTTAATTTGTAATAATAATATATTTTGAGTTGATATAATGATTTTTTCATTTAAAATTTCATTTTCATTTCATTTTTTTTTTCAGTACTTATTTATAAAAGTCTCTAAAACTTTTAGAATAAATTTACTAAAGTGTATTTAGTGAAAGCACTTTATTAAATTTATTTACACTGTTTTTACACACTTTTAGGTTGCTGCATAAATCATTTTAGCATAGCTACCAGTAGACATAGACTTAAAAAACAAAGTCCTTTTTTATAGTTAAAAAGAAGTGATAAGTAGTGATTTTATTAAGTTATTTAATTTTTCAATATGCCATTAAGATAATTATTGAATAAGACAGCCACAAAAAAATAAATAAAGCTTGTTATTAATATTTGATAAAAAGCACAGCATAGTGCTGTTAGAGAAATTTCCATGGTTGGCTTTGCTAATGATTTCTTGATATACTGACTCTACTTGAAAAGTAGATTGGGATATTTAATAGTGTCAAAAACTTGAATAATTGTTAAGTATATCTATTATAATATACAGATACATATATAACAATTTAACAATGCTAATAATTATGAATAAACTGAAACCCAAGGAGAAGCAACTTTTCATAAAATTAATAATCAGTTTTTGATATAAATAATGCTAATTTTTTTTTGAGATTACAAACCAAGGTCACATTTTGCAATTAAAATAAGAAAAAGTAGAGTTAACATTTTCCTCCATATCTGAACATTTAAAAAACCACACTTGAATACAAAACATACTTGAAACTGATATGTTTCAAGGCCAACTATTATTTGGCCCGAAACATTTTTTATTGTTGCTTTTTTTTATGACAGCAATTTAAAAAATTGTTCAAATTTTTTTATTTTAGATTTAATGTCCACAGTTTCACACTTTTTTGATTTGTACATTGATAATGCCATTTTTTAAATTTATATTAATATGTTTTGCATATCAGAACTGAATATTTTTATTGTGATACTGCCACTAGAATGTCAAGAATCACTATATATCTAATATATATATCTAAATAGGCAATTTATTAGTGTCAATATAAGTTTTTATTTTTACAGTTAAGAAAATATAAATGTAAGTTCAGAGAATGTTGTAAGGCATAAAAAGAAAAAAAACAGTTAAATAACTATACTTTTTTCAGAAAATAAATAACAAAATTATCAAATCAGCTTTTTTATTTGGGCATGACAATCAGTAGATATAAAATCAATTTTTATTCCCTTTTTTAAGTATTTTTAATAATTGAATAAATCCTGCTTTTTTCATACAGTTTAAATTCTGCACTTCTTTCACAGATATTACAGCTGTGTCAATTACACACCCAGATTCAGTTTACATCAATGTATATGTACAGTATTTTGTGTTATGACCAGGACTGTCACATCTCCCATCACCAACAAGTGAAACAACCTTTCTGGTTTGTAACATTTTTATCATTTTCCTACATTTTAATTTCCACTTTTTTACAACCACTGGCATAATGACATTTTTTTTCATATTGTAATAAGTTTCAAAAAAAAACTTCATAATTGCAATAAAAGCAAAATGCTCAAATTTAGAAAAGAATATTCCTAGAAATGCAAATGATGTCGACAAAAATAAATTACCTAGTTCTTTTAAATTACCAACAGTCAGCTAAGATTTCCATTCTACTTCGCAATTATTCAAACAATTTATTTTTAAATGTTGCTGTGATCTATTACCTTTAATGTTTGGTCTGTCAATAAGAGAACGACATGCTGGACAGCAACGTAAAAGTTTGTTTAAGTTTTTCTCAAAAACAAATGTGTCCAAACATTTTACATTATATCACTAAATACCTCTTGGTTTTCGTCAACTGCTGACATATTGAAAATACTGGATATTTTCATTTTGAGAGCTTTGTGGAGAAGATAAATAATCTGCAGATACTTCCTGTTCATGAATATATATATATATATATATATATATATATATATATATATATATATATATATATATATATTTATATGTATATATATATATATATATATATATATATATATATATATATATATATATATATATATATATATATATATATGTATATATATATATATATATAGAGAGAGAGAGAGAGAGAGAGAGAGTTTAAATTCAATAATAAGTTTAATATAAATCATAAAATAAATCAAAATTAAATTATTTTTAAAAATCTGAAATTAAAAAGAAATTTATTTATCTATTTGTTTTTATATCAAAAATGAAAACTATTTCACTATTGTAATGAAAATGTTTTTTTTAAAAGACTATAGGTATTTAAAAAATGAGTTTAATTCAGGCTTAATTGATGACTTGTTTCTCCATCAGTAGGTTCATCAGGAAGCTTTCTGATGAAAGATTGCCAATGGAGAAACAAGTTGTTAAAAAAAAAAATCATAGTTTACTTGTATTTTTTGTCATTACAATTATTATAGTAAATAAGTGTTATACTTAATATCATTCCAGGAGCACGCCTGTGGGATTCTAAAACCTGTATATTAGATTTTGTACTTTTAAAATTTAAAAAAATACATGCTTAGGCATGAATAATTTTTTTCAATTATTTGCAATTAGGCAGGGGTTATTTTGCAAGCAATCAGGCCATCAGAAATGACGCAATTTGAAGTTCTGAAACCAGACTATCAACTTGCTGTATTTATTTACTTTAGTTGCAATGGGAAGAAAAAGTGATTTATCTCCCTGAAAAAAGTGTCAGATTAAGGTTCTCTTGGAGAATACAGAGCTTACTCAATGTCAGATTAACTTTTAAATAATTACTTTAAAAATGTGGGGTAGCTCAGAGCATCATTTTAAGCATAAGAAAAAACATGCAGCATGGATTATCTGATAATCCGAAATGTAAAGGAAAATGCAAAAGAAAGCAAACATCTTTACAACAAGATGATCGAGCTTTGGTGAGCCTCTCTAAGTCTAAGGTCAAAATGACATAATGCAGATTAATGGTTAAAACAAAAACTTTAAGTTTTTAGATGAGTAGCAGGACTATGTAAAAAAGATTAATTGAAACTGGTTTAAGGACCTACCGACCAAGAAAGAACTTAAAATTAACCACGGCAATGATGAAGAAAAGATTTTTTTAGGCCAAACATTTTCCAATGTGAACAAAGGATGACTGGGAAAGGGTAAGTTATCTAATTGTTTGATTATTTTTACATCGTCCAGCAAAATAATTTTAAATTTGATTAGTGAAAAACAAATTAAATTAACTTAAATTTAAATTACTAAAATAAGTATAAGCTGTACAATAGTAGTCTGTGTAATCCACTGTATAATGTGTATATTTGTGTTTAAGGTATTTTTTCTGATGAATCAACAATGAAAATAATGGACAGCAATTGCCTCTTAGTAAGAAGAAGACCAGATGAAGAATATCTTCCACAGTGCATGGTGCAGAAGGTCAAACATCCGAATAAAGTCATGGTTTAGAGCGTGATATCTTTCAAAGGACATGGATGTCTTTACATTTTAGATGGCATGATGAATGTACAACAGTACAAGAAAATGATGAAAACATTTCTGATTCCTCAATAGAGAATTAATTTCCTGATGGGAACTGCATTTATACACAAAATGGGGCACTCTGGAAAAACATTATCAAGGATTACTTTGTGGACATCGGTATGGAGGTGTTGCCCTGGCTGAGAAGTAGTCCTGATTTGAACTATGAAATTAAAGGGATAATAATTATAATTAATAATCTATTATCAATATTACTTGGAATTTCCCTTGGAAATAGCTTATAAAATTTGCAACTAAAATTATGTAATTAATTTTTCACAAAGCTTTCTAACAACATCAAGTACTATGTAAAAATGTAAAAAAGAAAAAAAAGTTCAATCCCAAAAAATAAAAAATTTGTTTGGTATAACCACCTTCAAATTATGTTACATCCAAAGTTTTATCTGTATTTTTATTAAAGTTTTTTTTTTCGAATTTTAAATATAAATTAGTTTAATTTAAAGATTTAAATGTTCAAAAAAATTAAAAAACGTATGAAAAAAAAAGTTTTTGTGATTTTGTTTCTCTGGAACGTATACCTCTTTGATTATTTCAAAAAAAAAAACTGGTCTTTTGTAGTATATATTTGATGTCAAAACAAAAAAATTTAATTAAATAAGATTTTAGATTTTCTTTTTTGCCATTATATAATAAAAAGCTATTCAAGTTTGCATTAATTTAAAAATATAAACTATATTCAATTTTTTGTAAGTTTCCAGTCGTATTAAAAGCGCAAAAAATTTATTTTAAACACCACTGACTAAAAAATCAAATTGTGTTACCCCATCTAATTTTGTAAGTTATTAACCTTCTAAGCAAAAGTATAATGTGGGACAACACTTGTTTTTTCTAAACATTACAAAACAAAATCAATAATTGACAAGTGATTAAAAAATAAATATAAAAAAGTATATATTAAAAATATTATTGAGTGCAGCTTTGGCATAATCCAACCTTATTCTACTGCTATGATTTTTTTGTACATATTAGTAAAAGTATCTTGCTTTTTCTCTTCTGAATGTACTTTACAAATTGTAGAACTAATTTGAATGCTCTCACTGAACGATCATTCTTAACATCAAGGTTCATGATGGCTGTTTCAAATTCTTGATAGAAATCATTGAAAGCCCAATACTATGAAGTTGGTATTTTCCAAAAAAACACCAGTTAACCTAGTTTATGGAACTGCAAATACATTTCAATCAAATACAAATACAAATATTTAAGAAATTTTAAAATAAAATAGAGTGCAAATATGCCAAATTAATTTATTTTTACAAAAAACAAATATGTATTTGACTCCAACCCTGTCGATAACTATTGAAACTCAGCTAAGAGCCTGTGACAAGTTTAGGCTTATC